TCGCGCGCGCCACACGCGCGCTCCCCAAGCGACCCTCCGAAGCAGGGCCAGCCGAGCCGGAAAATTGGATGGTCCGCCACACTGGTCCTGTTGCGCACATATATTTTGGAGTGAGTTGAGCGCATGAGCCACGTGGGTGGGCAGGTGTGTGCGATCTTATTATGCCTGACAAACCGTAATCCATCTTTGGCTCTTGTTCCACGCCCAGGTGCCGAGTTATGCGCTGCATCATGCTTGCTGCTTCATGTGCTGGTGATTCATGTGGCAACATGCAAGTAATCTGTCAGCAGGTTCTTGTGATTGCACGACACATTCCAATGCAGCCAGCGGCTTGCTTGTTACTCAAGTTATGCCAGCCGAGGCAGCACACATGCAGGACACTCTCTCACAGGCAGCAGCGCCACGCAGCTTCATGCCAACACATGGCAAACACACCAACCACCTGCTTTTTGCAACCAGCAACCACCTGCTCACTGATTATGCAATGACAGCAGAAGACTGACAACACTGGGACAAACAACCCATCATCACGCCAGCAAAACACAAACACAGCTGCAGCGAACCATTGCGCCCAGCCCTGCGCCACACGGTGTGGGCAAGGCGGGGCGCGCCGGCAGGCCAGCCGGTGTCCCCTCACTTCTTCCCGCTCAGCAGCATCTTCCGGAACTCATCGTTCGACTTTGCCCTCCCGTCGTTGGGCGGCAGCGCAGCGCCGCCGCCGCCGCTGGCGGGCGCGTCGGGCGCCTTAGCCAGGGCGCGCGGCACGAGGCCAGGCATGCGCGCAGGGGCAGCGCCCTCCTGGGCCTGCGGGGTTGTTTGTATTGCGGTCACAGTTGGTGCCATGGTTGTGAACGGAAAGTCAATGTGACGCGGGCAGCGCAAGAGCGCTTCCAGACAAGGTGGGGCGCCCGCAGCCGCCAGCGGAGCATGTGGTAGCGCAGCCTGATGCCGTGCGGCGCAGTCTCACCTGGATCGTGTTGCGCATGTGCCCCATGTTGCCGTGCGCCGCGCTTACAGGCACGTGAGGCATCCCCAGCCC